TTTTTTTTTTTTTTTTTCGGGGGGGGTGGGGCAAAAGAAACACCAGTGTTAGCTTAATGTCTGGTGTTTGTCATGGTGAAATGATAGCTCTATCAGTTCAGGAGAACATCTTGACTGTTCTCTGAATGCGCCTCTGTGCTTTCTGTCATGTTCTGTAGTGAACTATTTTTAAGGTCTAATCAAGTGAATTTTTTTTTCCCAACTCCGTGTTTCGCTAAGGAATTATTTCGCACACGGACCATTCTTAGCAGTTTTCCTCAGTGATGGAATATTCATGAATGTGAGTCGTTATGTAGCCGTCGTACATTGAGCAAAATAAACTTACAGATCTGAAGTCAGCGCCACCTAGCTTCATTTAATGGATTCTAACTACTTTGCTTTTGAAGGCTTGATTGGACGTGGGTGTCTTCCTCCTCCACTCTGGAGTGAGGCTGGGTGTGTGTGGGAGCAAGACAGCACATAACAGTTGTCCTAGTTTGTTTCTCCATTGCTGTAACAAAATACTCTGACAACTTCCAACTTGGGGAGGAAAGGGGTTTATTCAGCTTACATCTCCCAGGTCATATAGTTCATCAGGGAGCCCAAGGTAGGAGGAACTCAGGGTGACTCTGGGGGAGCATTTGTCTAGCAGGTGGGAGGATTTAGGTTTGGTTCCCCAGCACCACAAAGAAAATGATAAAACAACTCTGGCGTGGTGACACCTGTAATCTCCATTAATTAGAGCACTTAGGAATCTGAGGCAGGAGGATCATTAATTCAGGATCAGACTGTACTATGTATCAAGACCCTGTCTCAAAAACTTAAGAAGTGTGTGGCTGGAGAGATGGCTCAGCAGTTAAGAGCACTGGTTGCTCTTGTAGAAGACCTGGATTTGGTTTCCAGTACCCACATGGCCGCTAAGAGTCTCCAGTTCCAGGAGATCCGACACCCCCTTCTGGCCTCTGCGGGTGTGGCACACAGATACATGCAGGCAAAAAACTCATACACATAAAATTTTTTTAAAAATCGTGGGGCTATAGTTCAGTAGTAGAGTGCTGGCCTAGCATGAGGAAGGCTCTTTATTCAATCCCCAGCACCACAAAAAGAAATAAAAAACCCCTCAAAACATTACAGTCTTGAAAAAGTTCCTAAGACACAGAATCAAGACATAGCATTGTTCCACCATCTCTCTGGTCCATTAGTAGCCAAGTCACCTGGACTTGGATTCTTCCACACAGTACATCCCCATTATGACGGCTGACTTGAAGTTATGGTGTCAATTGTTTAGGAAGGATGGCCCTGAAGAGTTGAGGGTCAGTGGCAGCTGTAGAGAAAGTTCTTAGACTTAATGAAGTAGTGTTCTGTGCTAGGCACCAAAGGTTTTCTGAGATGGCGTCTTACTGCTCAGGCCAGCCTCGAACTCATGATCTTGCTGGGATGACAGGCTTGCATCACTGCTTCTGACTGGTTATTCTACAGTTCTAGAATGTGCTGACCAAGAGGCACACACCCAAAATAGCACCCTAGACATTGAGGTAAGGTCTCAAATTCAAAGCCAGCCTGGGAGACATAGGGAGATCCAGTCTCAGAAAAAGAAGACAGGAGCCATAACCAGTAGTACAAAGCCAGAGGTCCTAGGAACAGGGTGGTGATAAAGGATTGACTTACCCATGTGCTTGGGACAACCACAAGTAGAATTCCAGCCCAAGACCTCTGGTAGGGACTGTAGGTCCAACAGATAATGTTGCTGTTTAGTGGAAGTGCCCCGTTTCTCTATTTATGGGTGATTACCACATGTATTGGCCTTGACACTGGTCACCTGAGTCTGCATGTTGACTCACAGGGTGATCCGAGTGGCTAAGAATGGCAGCCTGGGCCTGGGCCTCAAAGCAGGCTTGGGGAGACAACTTCCAAAAACTAGCCAAGCAGTACTACTCTCTATTTCTGGGAATTGACATTAAGTGACCACTGGGCTAATTGGAACATCAAAGTGTGGTAGATCAGGTTGCTAATGATCCTGCCACTTTTATTTTCCAATTTCGGTATGGATGCATGTGATTAAATTGAGTGGCCACAAGTTGGGCTGGATGAACCATGGATACCTGCGATCAGCAAGAGGACAGGGTGGGAGGTGCTGGATCACAGCACACCAGGCAAGCAACCAAGAGTTGCCAGCATAAGCCAGCTTGAGCTAGGGTGAGACCCTGTCTCAAGAAAACAAGGGAAGGGAGCTGGAGAGATGCCTCAGGTTAGGGGCCCTTACTACTCTTTCAGGGGACCCATGTTCAGTTCCCAGCACTCACATGGTGACTCCAGCGCCCTCTTCTGGTTTCCATAGTACAACTAACACTTGTGCACATAAAATAAAAATAAATTTTTAAAAATTAAAAAGCCAGGTGTGATACAAGCCTTTAGTCCCAGCACGTTGGAGGCAAAGGCAGGTGGGTCTGAGTTTGAAGCCAGACTGGTCTAAAGACTGAGTTCCAGGTCAGCTAGGGCTCTAGGGAGACCCTGTCTCAAAAAGCCAAAACGAAACAAAAGGCCAGGAAGTGCACACCTTTTCCAGCACTAGTGAGGAAATGCAAGTGGGTGTCTTGCCTGGTCTACATAGTGGGCCCTTTTCAAAAAAGGCAGAAAACAAGCCCCAAACTCTTGTGAGAGACAGAGACAGAATCTTCTGTAGTGCAGACTGATCTGGAATTCCTGATCCTCCTGTCTTCCCATCCCAAATGCTGGAATTACGGATGTGTGTCACCATACCAAACGCAGTCCCTAAAGATTTTGCTTTGTCCTCTAGCCTTTTCCCTGATCTTAGTGACCAGCAACAGCTTGTGTCCTGAGTTGTCTGAAGTGCAGTTCTAAATACCAGACTATGATGTCTCACTGCCCATGAGTACCATCAGGTTTCTGGCTTCAGACCTCTAGGCTAGGGTATTTTGCTCTTTAGTCCCCTTCTACTTTGCATGAAAGGGAAAAGTACCTGTTATCAATAAGCCTTGGTTTTGACTCAGGGCACTTTCTACCACATGTGATTACTTAGTCTGGCGAGACTGACAGTCTAGCTGTTCTGCCCCAGTGGTCAGCTCATCATATGCACAAGTGACTTTAAGGACAGCAAGTATGTCTGGCAGACTGTCTTTATTCTGGCCTGCTTGAAAGAGTCTTAGAAACTTAGTCTTAAATTGGTTCTTTCTAGTCATGATGGATAAATGATTATTGACTCTCAAAACCCATCTTTATTTTCATAAAAAGGTAGATTTGGGGGATGGGGATTTCATCGTCAGAAGTTTTTTGGTTTGGTTTGGTTTGTTTGGACAGTTCTAAGTATGGAACTCAGGACTTCAAACATGATAAGAATCCTCTACACTGAGCTACAGCCTTCAACCCCTCACTGGGGAATTCTAGGCAGGTGCTTTACCACTGAGCCACACCCCAGCCCCTCACTGGGGGATTCTAGGCAAGGGCTCTACTGCTGAACCACACCCCTAGCCTTAATGTCAGTTTTTTTAGGTGAAAGCGCTTTTGAATCCCAGCAGGTTTATCACACACAGCAAACTGCTTTCCAGAAGGCTGGTTTTTTGTTGTTGTTGTTTTTTTTTTTGTTGTTGTTGTTTTGTTTTGTTTTGTTTTTTGGAACACCCCAGCTGGCCTGGAACTTACTATGGAAATCAGGCTGGCCTTAATCTCCCGGAGATCTGTCTGCCTTTGGCCCCAAAAGTAATTTTCGAAATGATAGTTTACAGGGCTCAGTGGTCAGTGGTTAAGAGCACTCGCTGTTCTTCCAGAGGACCTAGGTTGAGTTCCCAGACCCCTTCCCATGACAGTTAACCATCTGTACCTCCATTTTCAAGGGATCTGATGCCCTCTTCTGACCTCCGGGGACATTGCATGCATAGGCATACTTAAATATAGGCAGCAACACACACACACATTTTTTAAAAACGTGATTTAGCTGTGGTTCTGAGTTTTCTGTTTGGAAGGGGTAAGGGTGGGGCCAGTGGAAGAGTGAAAAATCCTAACCTGGTTTTAAATCAGACTACATTAGTGAGTCAAGATAGATTTAGCAACTAGAAGCTGGGTAGGTCTGTGCAAAGACCCAGCTGGAGTTTTAAGTTCCTTTAACATGAGTCACCCTAAATACTGTCCAAATCCCCAAGATACCATATCTACTGCTGTGGGAGAGGCAAGAAGAGTCAATCATGGTTGCCTATGATATAGTAGACTAATTTCTTTCTTTTTGCTTTTTTTTTTTTTTTTCTTGAGGCAGGATCTCACTATGCAGCCCTGGCTGGCCCATAACTTGCTATGTAGACCAATTTGCCTACCTCTGCCTCCCCAGTGCTGGGATTAAAGACATGTGCCACCATGCCTGACAAGACTACCTCTTTAAAAAAAAAATTTGTAAATTTTTATTTTTATGTGTATGAGTGTTTTATGTGTATTTACATATATAAATCACCCATATGTGCAATGCCCACATATAAGTCACCCATATATGCAATGCCCACAGAGGTCAGAAGAGGATGTCAGACTCCCTGGAACTGGAGTTACAAAGAGTTGTTAGCCACCATGTGGCTGCTGGGATCTGAACTTTGGTCCTCTGCAAGAGTAGCCAATGCGCTTAACCACTGAGTCATCTCTCTAGCCCCAAGACTTCAATAAGTCTTGCCAAGTGGTCACCGAGACATAATGTTGCTTT